GATGAGAATGACTTTGGTTTCAGCTGGTGGTGTGACATGTGATTGTTCGCAATGACAAAAGTGTGCCATGGCTCAAAAAGGTTGAGGAACACTGCCATAATGTATTGCAGGTTGGGGGGGGATGATTATAGGCACACAATATGGAACTTTGGAGGAGTTTAAATTCAACAAAACCAAAGCTAAAAAAGGTCTGTACCTTGTTGGTTGATTATGAAAAGTCAATCAGGGAAAGGTTTTCATATTCCTCGAGTTCTGTACTATTACAATGGTGTTCTGCAAACAGCCAGGAGATACAGTGATTCTTGAGGTTTCAGCTTCTGTGGGTGCCAATATGATACGTAATGAGGTACGTATCGAGGTATGTATTGTATTGGCCAATTCTAACCCTAACTGTAAAAGTTAAAAGAAAGAACATCATGCCATCACAACTAAAACCAGTACTGCAGTGTCAAATTGAAAAGGTGAAAAGTTCCTCTATTTCTGTAATTCAACTTAAAATGTAAGACCAATCAAGGACATAGATTCATTACATGCAAAGCAACAAATATTAAGCCCTTATTTTTTATAATTTTTATGATTATTGCTTTCAGTCTTTTGTGAAAAATATGTTTTACTTGTGGGTTTTACCAGCTGTGAGACAATTATCAACCTAAAAACAACTTGATAGCTCTCACTTTGCGTGTAATGATTCTGACACATATTATTTTCACATTGAAAGTTGCATTAGAGAAAAAATTAGACTTTGCATTTTTTTTTTTTCTCAGGATCACCAATTTTCCGAGGGACCTTTTGGGCTTGTAAACACAGCCCAGAATGAAAAGAGTAGAGGTCACAGACGATCGATGAAAGACAGTAAACATGACCACTTTTAATGTGCCAATCAAATGACACTGAAAGCTTAGAGGTTACATCAGAAAGATGAGCGTTAGCATAGTGCTTGTTTCAGGTCTGGTCCAGGTTAGCCTTAATCAAGCCTCATCCCTCAGCACCTTTCAGCAGCTCTATGCCCTACAAGCCTTTGATATGGCAGGTGTGAACACGGCTCTCATCACTGAGCCCCGTGCACCACCGGGCTTACCTCTCTTGTAATTCAGTTTGGCTTTTCTGGTTGGTGAATTTATTATTTTGCTGAGCTTATTTTAAATTGGTATCTAGAGAGTTTACCCTCCTTTAAAAAAAAGCTTTTTAAAATCAAATGGAAATGTTAAGTATGTGAGTAATGGGTATAGATAGAGGTGACCCCATAGTGCACAGAAGGGATTAGAAGGGATGGCTCAGTTGGTAAAGCACTGGTCTTTGAACTTAATGGTTGTGGGTTTGATTCCCCCACGACCCATGTCACCTGCTCCCACTGACGTCTGCTGTTATTGTGTCCCTGTGCAAGACACTTTGCCTGAAGCCTCCGCTGAAGTACCAAGATTGTGTCTTCGTCGAAGGAGTAGCCATCTTCCGCACGGACCCACCACCTTCAGGAGGATCAATGAGGGGCTGGCACTATGAACATTGGTTGGCAGCTTGGATTGCCATCCCCTGACCCAGAAATGGATTTTAAAAAGGGGATGAAAAAGAATGAATGAATATAACAAGTCCAAAAGGTGGCTATGTTTTACTGTACTTGTTTCGCCGAGTCCAAGGGGATGTGCTCTGGTTCCTATCTTGATATTTGGTGAAGTTAAGGTCAAATTTGTCAAGTGGGTAAAATGAAAAACGCAGCACTGCAAATATAGATTTAATAAAAGCAAATACTAAATCAAAATCCAGAGTAAACAACAAAAGGGTACCAAAGAGGACAAGAATAACAAGACACAGGTGATATAGGTGAGGACAGCTAATTAGAAACAGGAAGTGAAGATACAGGGGTAGAAAATTTCAAAATAAAACAGGAAATAAACCTAAACCATGACAAAATTTACATTCAGGGAACAACAACTAACCAGCACTTTCTGACCTAACATAACCTGGATTTCAAAAAGGGCAGATTTCTTTCCCTTCTACGTTCATTTAAGATCACATGCTTCAGTGGCTCAGGAGCACTTAGAGTTGGGATGTGCGGCAGGGGGCTAAGACACATGAAGACCCACGCAGAAAGTGGCTCAGCAGGAGGACCATGATCATTTCCAATCAACGAGACGTTTCCAAAGAGCCCCCAAAATACCGCAACAACACATGTCTCCACCTTTATATGAGTATGAAACAATACGTAGAAATAGATACAGAATAATACATAACATATATTTTCAACACTGTTTCGGCCAAATATCACAAAGCATCTCACGACTCGAATTATGCATGAGTAATGGGTGTTTTTCTCTCGCATGTATTGCTAATTGTTTATTTTTAAATCATTCTGGAGGTAGCACATTATCTATGATGCAAATTATAACATTCCATTCATATATGGTTAATGTCATATTGTGGAAGAGTATTGCCAAACGAACAGTGTCCCTATGGAAGCAAGAAAAACAAACTAAAAATACATTCAATCTTCCATTCATGATAATTGTATGCTTAATAAAATATACAGGCTTAAATCTTAAGGCGCTGGTTCTTTGTAAAGCATTTGCATAGATGGATGTCTTAGCAGCCTATATATAACATTTAAATATGTTCTCTGCTATAGGCTACAACATACAGAATATGTAAGGGGGTGTGAAGGGCGACTTTATTCCATCTGGTTATGTTGCAGGCTGTGAATTATAAGTGGTGTTGATGAAACCAGCACGCTTTTTATCCTTAACCTATGCATCACGAGTCTCTACGGGCCTTGGGAAACACCATTGGCGCGAGAAAAAAAAAAAAAAAAATGCTGCTGCAAGTGTTTTCAGAGGCAAATAAAAAGGAACAGAGATGTAGTTTAAATATTTAATAACCCGGTGAAATGTAGGCAGGTCTTAAGGTGGCAGCTCTGAGAAATGGGGAGGGCAAGGCACAAAGAACCATCATCCAGGAGTAGGAACATGACAAGACAATGCGGAATGTGTGGGAAGCGAGAAGTCACAAATGAACGAGTCAATATGATTTTGTTTCCCTGTGAGTAAAAGGCTTTGGTGCATCGAATAAATGACTAAACAAAGCTTTAAACATAGGGGCTGAGCTGGACTCGATTTAGACAATGTTGTAGTAGTCTGCACTTTGCAAGTTTAACTACCTTTCAGAGTGCATTGCAGAACAGAATGACCAGGCTTCCCAGATGTGACACAGATCATAGGCGTAGATAGCAAAGAACATCATAAATGACTAATTCTTGCCGTTCTATCAATTTTGAACAACATGAGTAGAGAGTAATGTGGAAAGGACATGCAGACTGCACACAGAGCGGTCACTGCTGGCCCTGGAGGCATTGTAAAGCCAATACTGCTTATCTCAAATTACTGTGAAACTGATGTCAACTTTATTTGCAGATCAAGGCTGTTTTACCATTAAGGATTCAGGCTATACTGTTGAATGTCACACAATACCATCAATGTTTTGCACAGTTGTGTTGAAATATTAGCAGTGTGTATAAAACATTATTGTAATCATTTTTACTTTGACGCATTGGAAACTACAAGAAGAGCTCTAGTTGTGTAATGCTGAAGAGGAATAGCCTTTGAATTGATTTTTTCAACAGGACAAGGACCCAAAACATATCAGCAAGGGAGCAACATGTCAGGCAGAACAGTGGGGCAGTGGTTAGCGCGTGTGTTTCACAGCAAGAAGGTCCTGGGTTTGGTTCCGCCTCCAGATGGGGCCTTTTGTGTGCAGTTTGTAGGTTCTCCCTGTGTCTGGGTAGGTGGCAATGACCAAGCGTCCTGTGTGCTCTGGGCCCGTCCCTCCTCTACTCACAGATGCTGTATTGATTGTGAGCATTGGACTTCATGACCCCTTTTAGCGGTGTCTGTCAGGCGGCGTGCTCCCACCCAAACACCCTCATGCACTGATTGAATGTCAGCTTCAGCTAGTGTGGGTTTCACCTGACTCCCTGACCAGAATATCACTCATGTATTTTCTGTTTGTGATTTCCGCCCCGTGTCAACCTGCACTCTCTCACAGGGGCCAGAGCTGGAGCATGACTTTGCATTTTTCATCAGCGACACAGCAGCTTTCGTTTTATTGCCGACATTCACCTTGAGTTAGTTTGAAAAGAGCACAAGTTGATTTTGTTGTGCTACCGCTTTGTTAGATGATTTATTATGAATGTCAGCGAATAAAAGTGTCACCGCTTCATCAAGTGGACCTAGAGTCCTGTTGGTTTTATTGGATTTAATGCACATACAACCCCCAGGATATTGATTGTATTCCCCAAAACGTAGTTGTGTTGGGTTTCTCAATAGTCACTAAATGTCAAGCTTGTTTGTATCTTGAGAAAAAAAAGCTTGATGAGTAATCAATTTTAATGATGGTGATCAGATTATTATCCAAACTCCCAAATGTCAGAAATGTGAATGTTGTATAATATTTAAAAAGACAGACCAAGTCTCAATACTTCTATAGTATATCGTTACAGTATTGACCAGTATTCACTTCAATGTCCTGCCCTCCACTGTTTCACCAATCACAAAGTCTGTGATCCAGGTTGCCAGAACCCTGATCACGGACCTAATCTCACTGGTAAAGTACCATGTGGCGGCAGTACTAAAAAGGTCTTGTTATGATTCTAAAATCATTAACAACAAACAACAAATAAAATGAGAATTTCTATCAGGCCTTTGTGAAAAAGGTATTGGTTATAGAGTTGTTGTTGACAATACACTTGTCTATTCAGATATCATGGTCCCAGCTGAATTTGTTGGCATATCTGGCAACCTGAGTCAGGAAGAGTGGGAGAGGTTGCAGTACTAGTTTTGGCCAGATTTTTTACATACTCCTTCTTTAAGCCTCCACAACACAATGTCTGGTCTTAATACTAAAACTTAAAGCTGATTAATCTTAATTGAGTATGAAACACATGGTTTGTCATATCATCATAAAAAACAAATGAACAAAACCTGAAACGTGTGAGCAGAGGTCCTTCCTGACAGATGGGATATTCCCCAAGGTCAGAAACATTCACAAAGCCATATATAAGCGATATTTGTGTTGGTTGATGTTATATTTATGGTGTTGTCTCGAGCCACAGACCTTGAGAGAACCGTGGGTGTCCTTGTTGCAGAGCTGGACACTATCGGTGCGGTTGACAACTGTTGATGTCGGACTTTTGAAAGAGCCAATCTGGAACGGGGCGAAGTGCAGCGAGTCCAAATCTGACAGAACGTGTTTACAAATGCAGAGCTCTTTGTGTTTACTCTGCTTTATCTTTGAGGGTCCGGTCTCGGATGAGTGCGGAGGTCACGGTCACAGACAGATTATGTGCAGAGGTTTAAGACAAGCACATTTGTGTTTACCTTCATGAGCATGACTGTTTTCCAAATACTATACTTTATGGAATTCTAACCTTAAAAGAGGGAGTATGTAATAGTGCTTATGGCAAAAGATTTGGGATGTTGTCAAAAGAAAAAAAACTTTCACAGAAAACTATGTATATTATATATTTGATCTTTTAATTATTTACAACAGATGCCACTAAGCCCAAATCCTTGAAAGTAATTATCTTTGGTAACACTTTATAATACTGTTTGATTATAAATCATTTATAAATGTTAAGTAATCATTGACTACTAAGTAATGAAACATTAACAAAGGTCTTATTTATATTAACAAATAATCATCTAAACATGAGCAACTCATTAACACGTAATATTTGTAACCGTTTAGAAAATCATTACTTACTAATTATGAATAATCTAGTACTCATTAAGACATGTTTTATTTAAGTGTTTATAATCATTCGTAAATGATTTACACATGATTTACTAATTGTTATTAGTTCATTATCAAATGTTGATTATTCACATGTAAACATTATTATAACCATGTGCTACTCATGACCTAATTATTAACAACTCATTTACGAATTAATATATAATAAATACCTAATGATTGTTAAATCATTAAGAATGTTGAAATTCACATCTAATACTCATCACCTAAGTGTTTCCAGCTAATGAATATATCAAAATAAATAATAATTTTAAGTCATTTACTAAGTATTCATATCATGAACTACTCAGAAACAGAAAATATAACACATTTTTCAATGTTTTATTGACATTTAATTATAAGTCATGACATTATATTATAATTTACAAATGATTATTACAATATTTCAGGGTAATGGAATGTTCATAATAACAAATCATATACAACACATTAGTTATACTTCTCATATTAACACAGTGTACGTTCATGTTTACTACTCATTAGTTACTCTTTTTCCAAACAGTATTATAAGGTGGGGACTGTTCCTCATTAACAAATGCTTATGCTAGTTCACATGAACAACTCATTTACAGCAATTTCCTATTCATTTATTCATTGTCTGCTCAAACATGTCAGACGCTTTACAAATGCAGCCTTGCGGAAATTCAACTCTGGAAGACTGACGGCTAAAGCCACCCCTTCAAGCCTGGCCTCGCATCCTCAGCCTATCGCACAACAAACGCCCATTTCCAACCAACTTATGCTGGTCAAGCCAGCAGCTTAAAAGCGGAGAAACTCCCACTTTACGGCCTTCTCGAAGCCTTGCAAACCACCGCCTCCCCTCCACCTCCTTTTCTCACCCTGCCTCAGGCATGCCTCTTTCCTGCTGCCCGAATGCCACCACCAGTGCCTAGGTCCCGGGGGGATTGTGCGCGCACTCACGCAGGAGCCTCGCTGACTAAATGCCGCACCGGGGCTAAAATCTGGAACAGTCTTCCTCTAAATGTGTGACAGGCTTCTACTTTGTCTTGCCTTTGTTTTGAAAATCTGTAAAATTACTCTATCCCTCAAGCTACAATCTTCAACATGTTTTGTTATTGGCAGTACAGTCGAAATAAGCTGCTCATGACGGGGTGTATATGTACTGTATTTGTGGTACTGACAAATCTTTGTAATCAAAACAACTTGATACAGAGCTAATTTTAAGCCTTTCAAAACAATTTTTATTGTCACGTGTCTGTTTTCTTATTTATATACGTGTAAGAACAAAGTCAGGACGAATGCGCAGCTTCTTTGCGTGGCTAAAGATCAGGACCAAGGACAGCGCGGTGCGTCAGTCTCCGCTCGGATTCAACAGTGAAACTTTCTCTTGTCATGAACGAGCAGCAGAGCAAAGATCTCTGAGGACTGTGTGGACATAGACGGACCCTCGGGCTTCATCTACACTTCTTTAAACTTTAGCTGCGTTTGGAACTCATCCCACCATCCGAACCAGAGCCAAGACGGGGACGCAGCGGGAGGCGCAGCGGGAGGCGCAGCGGCGGTACTGAGGATCGGCATCTCCTTGGTCTACTGTCTGGTGTGCGTGCTGGGTCTGGTGGGCAACGTACTGGTCCTGCACCTGGTGAAGTCCAAGCAGATCTCGAAGGAGTCCTCCATCAACCTCTTCGTCACCAGTTTGGCTCTGACCGCGATCCAGTTTGTGGTCACGCTGCCGTTTTGGGCTGTGGAGAACGCCTTGGACTTCACGTGGCTCTTCGGTAACGTTATGTGCAAAGTCAAGTCCTACGTTACGGCTATGAACATGTACGCCAGAGTGGTAGAGGAAACCGGAGCTCCCAGAGGAGGTTTGCTAGAGAAGAGCTAGAGGAGCAGAAGAGAGAGACAGAGATGCTGAAGAGTGAAGTGTCCTCTCTGATATCTGCTCTGGAGGAGGCCACGGAGGCTCAGACCAAAGTGGACCTGCTGCAGAAGGAGACACAGGACCTCAAGAGTGAAGTGTCCTTTTACAAAGCAGCTCTGACCAAAGAAAAGTCGTCAGTGAAGGAGGCTAAGGGGAAACAGGCGGTGCTGGTGAAAGAGACACATGAGCTGAAGGAAAAAGTCTCGTCTCTGACATCTGCTCTGGAGGAGAAGAGGAACAAGGTCACTGAGGCTCAGACCCAAGTGTCCTTTTATAAAGCGGCACTGACAAAAGAAAAGTCCTCAGTGAAGGTGTTGGTAAAAGGTGTTGGTCCTCTCTGACACAGGACCTGGACGAGGAGAGGAACAAGGTCTCAGAAGCTCACAGTGAAGTTGAGCTGCTGCAGACAGAAGTGTCCTCTCTGACATCTGCTCTGGAGGAGGCCAAGGAGGCTCAGACCAAAGTGGACCTTCTGCAGAAGGAGACACAGGAGCTCACGAGTGAAGTGTCCTTTTATAAAGCAGCTCTGGCTGAAGAAAAGTCCTCAGTGAAGTAGGCTAAGGGGAAAGTGAAAGAGACACATGAATTGAAAAAAGAAGTGTCATTTCTAAAAACAACCCTGGAGGCAGAAAGGATCTGCTCAGTGGAGTTGAAGGATCAGGTCCCCTCTCTGACCAGTGCTCTGGAGGAGGACAGGAGGAGTCTGGAGGAGACTCAGAGTGAAGTGCAGAGGATGGAGAAGGAGATGCTGCAGCTGAAGGAAGACTTGTCCTCTCTGATATCTGCTCTGGAGGAGGCCATGGAGGCTCAGACCAAAGTGGACCTGCTGCAGAAGGAGACACAGGAGCTCAGGAGTGAAGTGTCCCTTTTCAAAGCAGCGCTGGCTGAAGAAAAGTCATCAGTGAAGGAGGCTAAGGGGAAACAGCAGGTGCTGCTGAAAGAGATTGAGCTGATAATCAATGACCGGCAGTTTGGTTTTAGGGCAAACAGATCTACCTCTATGGCAGTAATGGAATTGGCAGAGGAAATAACATCAGCAACAGATAGAGAACATACAGTGGGTGTGTTTGTTGATCTCAGCAAGGCATTTGACACCATAAATCACCAGTTGTTTAACATAAATATTAATGACATCTGTAAGTGTCACGGGGTGGTATGATGGAGGACTCAAATGCAGGAATGCAAAAATAATGATTTAATAAAATAAAAGTCCAGGTGAAAACAAAACTCAAAATCCACGAATACAGAACCAGGAACAAAGGCAGGACTTGACACGACGAAACAGGACATTGACATAACAATGGACCAGCAACATGTGGAGAGGGGCACAGGGTAATTATAGACAGGGACACAGGTGAAACACATCAGGGCGGGGCAGACAGTCAAGACAGGGGAAACAGCACAGCTGTTGAGCTTTCTGAGCTTTCTCTCTCTCTGACCTCCTCACAGGAGACCAGCTCCACTCTGAGGCAGGAGAACAACCTGCTGCAACAAACCATGGCCACAATGGAGCAGCAGCGACAGGAGGAACTCCTCCAGAAGAAGAACAGGAAGAGGAGGTGGTTCTTATGTGGCTCTGAAGGAGCTTCCAGCCAATAAGACCAAACTCACCCTAACACCAAACCACAACCATAAACATAACCACAAGACTTCACTTCATGAGTTTGACTCATTGGGGCTTCATCATCATCATCATCATCATCACAGATGAAAAGACTCTTTTCTTGAAAATGGTGATGTTTGTGTCCATCTTGTCTCCATAGACGTGGCCTTCACCCAGCAGCCGTATGGAGCTGTTGGGGGAAAAACACTTTCATCTCCTGTGATTGGATATGATTTTCTGTTTTTTGCTGAATAGGAAAATATGTCTTAATATTTTAATATTTGGTCCAAACAGTGAATAATCATATAAAATCATATTTGAGACTAAAGGACGTGGCCTGAGCCAGAGCCCAAAGAGACACTTCAGGAGCAACACAATCATTAGTTTGTGAGTTTGAGTGTAACATGTGAAGAATCATAGAAACAACTGGATATTGACTTTATGACTTAAATTTAAATAAAATAATTATAACATTTTCAGACTATGTTCAGTAATTAGACCCGAGCCCCTTCCGTAGTGTTTATTGTTTTCACAACAAGGATGTCGAGGAGAGTGACGGCATCAGTGTCAATCGTGAGAACGCTACTGTTGCGTCCGTTTGCTCGATCACTTCAGAATTATGTATACTGTGTTGTCATGGGAACCTATATTTATTCCTGCTCAAACATTTTTGGAAAAAAATGCTTTATTATGTCTTTCTTATGCTTTTAGATCCTTAATTTGATCCCAATGTACAAAAACATATTTGCATACATACAATTTAGTAAGGAGTTCTACTTTTTACATTTATTACTGTAAGGAAAGGTAAGGCATGTTTATTTGTATAGCACAGTTCATACAAAAGGCAACTCAAAGTTCTTAACAGAGCAAGATAGAATCAAACATACAGAGCATTAAAATACAATCATCCAAATAATCACAGTATATCAAACAGAGTAAAGATATAATCCTTCAGTTATAAATGTAATTCAGGGATTTGATCATTCGTTTAAAATATTGTGCAGAACACAGAACACAAATGTGTGACATGCTGTTAAAAAGCATTCCAAATCAATTTAAAAAACCACCAAAGTTTTGCACCAAAATCCTTTTGTACGGTTTTATTTGTGCTTTGCTCAACCTCGTCATTGTACTGTGTTTATGTTTGATTTATTTCACAACTGCTTCACAGTTCAAATGCTGCACAAAATGCAATTAACTTTATTAGCTGACGTTTCCCTGAGGAGGAGCGATAAAGACAATCGTTTTATAAGCTACAAGCAGAAAGCCGGATATACAAAAATGAACATAGAAAGTGCACATGCTACGTATGGAAAGGTATTCATTTGAAGGATGCTTGCTCCCGCTCAAGGACATTCCATTTGCCACGATCAAAAGAAAAAGTGTAAATACAAAAGACCTGGAATTTCGATACAATTCTCCATCTACTGTTGTGTATGGCCCAGAGTATCGAGGGCTTTATACACGAGTTGAATGAAAAGACTTGGCCACAAGGTTTAACCATTTTGTAAACTTGTCCTCTCTCTCCCCAGAGGAAGACCTTTAGTTCATATGCAAAGTATGGATCAGTTTCAAACAGTGTTATGCAGAACCAATGATCAAATGCCCCTGAGTGTGTGTATCTGCATGGATCGCTTGTCTGATATCGATCTTTATTTAGCAACAAGTAAAAAGGCTGCAACAGCTGTGAAAAACTGCACATTCGTCACAGTTGGCTGGTTTTTTAGCAACAACAAATTTTGTCCCGTGTCTGCAAAGCACTTTGTGTTTGAATGCAGACAAAGAAGTCAGTGCTTTTACTTTTACAATGATCAGTAAATGCAGCAAAAAAACAAATTGAACCTGTAAGAAACTAAACAAAATTATTACATCTTTGATGTAATACAGGTTTGCATTGAGATGAGGAGAATATTGCTTTATCATTACCAGGATGCTGCAGATGATTACAAAACCATCCAGACTCCAACTGTAGTAATACTAGAAGCATAAAATATCAGACATAGGCTGAGCATGCACCCAGAACGGAGCACAGGCACGATGAATGTTTTAAGAGGCGGCTCTTGAAGAAGTGGGGTTACAGGCCGTCAGCATTGGGCTGAATTAGACCAGACAGTCGCCGGGGAAAGTCAGATCTCAGGAGGCAGAGCAACTAAACCAGAGGCTCCATGCACACTGCTTCATCTTCAGTGTTTTCAAAGTAAAATCAAGGTCACAATTAATTATGACTTGTTCTGCTGGGGGGAGATCTAAAAAAATATATTTCAGAGAGTATGTCAAAAACTGCAGCCTTGTTTCTCATATAGACATTTTTGGCGCAAGTTAGACGGTTCGGTAAGGTCCAGTCAATAAAACACTTGCTGATACGTCATTTGTGTTCTCATAGTAGCAGTGTGTAGAAAAACGTAAATAAATCAAACCACAATCGAAAAACTAAAGACTGTTTATATGGTTGGCACAGAGTGGTTGAACAGCAGTGTCTAGCCTGGAGGTGGAATCGAATCCAGGATCTTGCTGCTATGAAGCACAAACGATAAACGTGCTACCCAAACGTTAAATTGTACACTGTCTTTGTGAGGCACATGGAGTTGCAGCCCCAGTATGAAATGTGCTACACAAATACATCTTCTTTGTCTTCTTCTTCATTAAAAACAGTATTACATTCCCCAGTATATATCAGTTCGTCCTTTTACAGCTCACAGAGACAGCACTCTGAAATACAGTATAAATGGCTCGGCATGATGAGTAACTCCCTCCACTAAAAGTTTAGAGCAATGCACAGAAAAGGTTTTATATTACCTTGAACAATTCCCACAGAACATCACCCAGTTTCTTGATGGATCTTTCCACCTTGCAGGCAGCAATTTAGTGTGATTTCTGGGTTCTCGCCTGGTGCAGATGTGCTGGTTGACATCTATCACATCTTAAGTCATTTATCAAAGTGAGCCATTTTCTTCTTTTCACCATTATGTTCTGTGTCTTTTGTGAGAATGCAGTTGTGCACAGAGAGGCCAATCGGTTTACGGTGAGAACGCTTGCACAAGGGCCAGAAGAATGACAGAGATAAGCAATGAGAGGAGCTAATCTGAACCAGAGACAAATGCAGTTGAAGAGGCGGCTGCACAGTACTGCTGTTTTTGCATGCATCACATTGGTCTATGTTCTTCTAATTGCTGGATGAGGGGGGGGTCCACAATGTATACAGAACATGAGATCCGATACTAGGTTGTGTTCATGTTCTAGAATTTTGGGGGTTCAGGGGCCAATACAACTCTTGAGGCCACATGTTTTCCCAGGTCATTTGATAGTGATTAGATTCCCAAACTATATACTGTATATTTTATTATTCTTATATCTAAAACCTGGTATATATCTATAACCTGGCCTTCATCATGCAACTGTTATATGAACATTGTCACCATTAAAACTTGACAATGAAATAATCAAAACAGTTCAAATGTTGTGACAAAAAGATGTGAAATTATTAAGAACATTTTGTGACAATTTTTATTTCATGTGGATTGGCCCGAGCCTGTCTTATTTGCCTACAGCTGCTGGGTCAGGCATCGCAGTCACACACACAGCTCAGGGAACCAGGATGTACAATCAGCCCGTTTGAGATGGATGTAAACCAAGCCATACATTCTGTGTTTGAAAAGATCTCCAAAACTCAGGATTTAAAGCCAGAACAAGGAGGACGTTTGTAGAATATTATTCATAGGAAAAATATTATTGCTCAGCTGTCATGACCAAACAGCAGTGATTGGTTCAAGGCAAGCAGAAAGGTACCCGCCCACTGTGAAGCGAAAAAATCGAAACGTTACGTAACACACAGGGGGAACATCCACTCAGACTCCACTCAAAAAGACCCTGTTCTGACTGGGATTCAAACCCAGGACCTTCTTGCTTAGAAGTGAAAGTGCTATCCACTCACAACCTATCACAGTTCTATGTTTATGTGCTGCATATTGTGTATCACTTCAAAACCAGAACGTCCTCAGGAGCTATGAAGATTCTGATTCAGGCTTATAGGGATGAGACAGAAAATCAACAACTTAAGCATGATCCCTGCAGAAGTCTCATGTTGTTTGCATTATTGACAGATGCCATCCGGCGTAGGCTCGTCCCTCTCGAGGCCCTCAACCGATGTCTGATCGGGCTCAACGTATGATGCAATGAAATGACTCCTATTCTCACCATAATCTGTGTTATCCGATGACACCCGGGAATCCTTCGAAGCCGCACCGTGTTCGGCTAACGCTGATATCACGTTTGCTCTACCTGCTCTCCTCATCTCTCACAACTCCTGCCCTTTGCGCTTCTCATTTTCAGGCCGTCTCTGATCCACTGCATTTTTTACATTTCAATCCTTCAGCTCTACTGCAGCCTTATCCAGACAGCAGCGAGCGGAGGGAGGGAGGGGAGGACTTGTCCCCACTGGATAGCTATGAGCGATTAGCAGTTTGAAAGATCCAATCCTGTTGCATCATATCATTCGTGTCTCGGCCTAAACACACTCCTACTTTCTCTGCACCATTTTGTTCTTCTCCGTATCTATGTCCCCCCCCCGTTTGCTGTAATGCCACCCACAAGCACGTTTAATTTTATTCACGCTTATGGCTATGTCAATATTCCGTGTGTATTTAGCCACCGCAGCGGATTGAACTGTAAACACAATGATTAATAGAAAGCAATAAAAGGATTTGGGGAAATAAATGACATTTATATTTGGGTGATAAGGGAAATTGGAAGAAAACCAGAAGACACTATTATAAACAAGTAAAGAAGGGACCACAAATAATATAAATGGGACAAGCACTAGAGTGTTTTGGAATGGCATTTTTTCTATGATGAAAGATAACCTCTGATCTATTGATTTATGTGTAAGCCTAAAGGTAAAGCAATCTGTGATTTGGTATAATTGAAGAAATATTTAAAAAAACCTCCCAATACGTATTCAGTTCAAAACCAGAACAAAACCTACCAACTTGGACACGTC